CTCTAACAAATCCGACTACTGAATTCAAGAGGTGCTTAAAAAGGTAAAACATGTGCTAAACATGTTTCAAACATGTTTTTACAGATTTAAAGCATGTGTGAAACATCTTTTAGTCATCTGGGAATTATTTGGCAGCATGCTTCCTCTCCATTAACCGACTTCCACAACCCTCCTGAGACTTTGGGAACTCCGTGGGCCGTCTGGAGGACGTCGCGGGCTAACGTTGGGTCCTCTTGGTCCGTCCTGTTGGTCTCTGCCAGGCCTTAGTGGCAGACGACGATGTCGACAACATGTTGGGTGCTGAACATTCCCTGGCGGAATCGCCATCTTGGGGGAGACTGACACCAAGACGACGTCGACAATCTCTCATTGCGTGAGGATGTCCTTGGCCCAATTGCCGCGCTGGGCAAGATCAAGACCAAGACTACGTCGACGAGTTATCAGTGTCGTGCGGGTGTTCCAAGCGAAATCGCTACTTTGGACACACATGGTGTTGAATACTACTTGTTTGAGGATTTCCTTAGCGACATCGTGATGTTCCTGGGGGGGAAGTAGGGCGTGTTAGAGCCATCGTTTTGGGCAATATTGCCGTCTTGAGGCCTTCCGAGAGCGATCCCAAGACACTCATGTTGTTTGAGGATGTCCTTAGCGAAACCGCCATTTTGGCCACTAGATCTCTGGAGTTGGGCTGACAGCCGACTGGCGGATCCCAATTTGCCGCCCACGTGGCCTAACAGAAATGCCTCGCGGCCCCTGGTCCAAGCCGCAAGCCACCTGCAAACTCTACCTCCCGCGGGCAATTTTTTCTGCCCAAGATGGCTAGTCCAAGATTGCCTCCAAGATGGTCTCAAGACGCCGCCTAAACGGCTCCAAGCCCCGAGAGGGCCACCAAGAGGCCAAGATGCCTCCAAGATCCTTCTCCTCCTCCCTCCATTCCTCCCCCAACTGTTCCACCACGGCTGGAGGAACGCGTGGTCCAGTTACTTAGCCAAGCCCTGGCACATCAGGCGTTTGTAGAAGGACACGGGTCGGCACGGGCTCGCCGCAGGAGTCTTCGGCCCGCCGGCCCCATAGCCTGCCACAAGGGTGCTTAGCGTGCCATATGGAATAGAATAGACACATACGACCATACATCCTGCTCGGAGAACTGGTTTGGCACATTCTCCGTCGATATTTGAGGGTCCTAAGATAGCCGGGGGATCATACATATCCGTTGGGCACCTGCTAGCAGTACCATCTCTCATTTGACGTGCCAGCTGTAAATCTGACTGGCCCTTCCAAATATTTGCATGTGGCCTCCCGCCCAAACCGCCGGCGCTGCGCAAAGGAAAAGGTCCGGGGACTTTCCCGTCCAAGATGGCTCCAAGATCGCATCCCAGACAGTTCCGAGGCGCTTCCAAGATGGCCAAGACGCCCTGAGATCTGTCCAAGAAAGCTCTCGTCAGGCTCCAAAGAGGCACGCATCATGGATTGCGATTGGCTGTTGATGTCGACATTCATGCCTTTCGGTGTGAACAGTGTCTAAGGCGACCTGGCATACTCCCAGTACCACCAGTAAACGTCTCAAGAACGCCCCCCGCCCAAGAAGATCTATGAGACGACCCAGGAGGGCCCAATACGGTTCTTACGAAGGGACCCAGCGAGACACGAATAGATCACAAAGTCCAGGATTCCAAGCATGTTCAAGATGTTATGTCTGTTCCGCTTCCTCTCCGCTGTCCAGTTCATCCACATTTTGATGGAAATGGACTTTTCGTTTTGTGTGTGTGTGTGTTTGTGTGTTTGTGTGTGTATGTGTGTGTGCGTTTGTGTCCTCCTGGTTTTCGACGGTCCGAGAAGGGCCCAAGACGGCCCAAGGGAGTCTCATGACGACCGCAAGGGCCCGAAGACGGTCTCCAGGGTCCCCCTGAAAGGGCCGATCCACCACACTGGTCGACATTTTCTCTTACACAGGCGATCGGCCTCCAGCGCCTTGCCCTGCCACATGGGCACGGGGCGGCGGTAATTCGCAAAACTCGTCTTTGACTAGAGGTGCCCGGAAAGGACGCATCGACCAATCACTAGGAGTGTTGCTCTGGAGTCTCCACGGCCGCGTGTCGGTTTGCGAAAACCCTGAACCCAGAATGTTTTGACTTCTTGGGAATCGGGCTGGTGTTGCTTCCCTTCTGCGCTCGTACTCCCTCTTCGCGCTGGAGCTTACGTGGTGTGCCCCTTGGAACGGCTCTACCGAAACGGTCGCCTCGGCGCGATCTGACGTCCTGCCAGATTGGGCCTCAAGCATCGCCACCTCCGTAAGGACGGCAAAATGAGGGGGACCATAATGAAGGTTTGCTTCCGCTCACTTCCGTCGGCATTCCTCTGGAAGGCTGCCCTCGTTCTGCTGCCGCAGGCTTCCGCCAGACCTCCGCCCTCTGCCGCCGAGGAAGAGATGTCAGGTGCCAACTGCTTCGCCCCTCGGAGGCGAGGCCCTGCATGGGGCGCCACCAGTGAAGCCACGGGAAGCACGAGGGACGAGAGGGAGAAAGAGGAGACGAAGGTAGACGGGCGAGGAGAAGAAGGGAGGAGGCAGAGCGGTCCGCCTGCTACGGACCGCCCGGGGTGGAGCGGCGCGGACGACCGCCAAGCCAAAAGATGCAGAGCCAGGCAGCTGACCCAGGTGGCCTTGACTGCAGGATGTCCGACCGAGCCGAGTCGCTGGACTGCCCGGCCGAGCTGCGCATCTGGGTCCAGGCTCGGGCTGACCGAAGCGCGAAGCATGATCCTCTCATCTCTTGCGCGCCCCCCCCAGGAAGGATGTCAGCTCTCCGGCCCGGCACGCGAAGCATGGGTGACCCAGGCGCACGCGCCCAGACCGGGCCGCTGTCACCCAGGACTCCTAAGGGTGCACATAGCACTGGCCGACCAGCCCAGCGGCTGCGGCGGCAGAGTCACTCCTTCCCAGCGCTGGTACGGCCGGCCTCCCACTCCCCGGGCTTTCGGTACCTGGTGTAGGCTGCTATCGGCAGCACTGCCCCCCCCCTCCGTCCCCACCCCCATTCAGGCATCCTGTCATTGCCCTTCCCCATCTTCTCCTCCTCTCTCTGCCTTCCTGCCCCTCCCGTGGCCCATCACTGCGTCCCTGGCTCCTCACACAGGCTGGGCAGCATTGTGGCACCCTCGTGTGGGCGAGGGGCGAAAATCAGCTCAAGATCAGAAGGTATCAGCTATGATCGGACTCTGCTTCTGGACTCTCGCGCTAGACTCCTCAAAAGGAGCGATGCGATGAGGACACATAGGGGCACGTCGAGGAGGCGGAGGAGGAGGAAGATGTCATCGACGAAAGCGAGGATGGAAGGAGAAGAATGAGGATCAGGGTGAGGGATGGGACCGAAGAGGAGGAATGTGTAGAGAGGAGTGGAAACATCACGTCGCAGGCCTCTCCCATTGCCATGGGGAGCACAACCGCCATGGTCGCGCTGCCCCCACCCCCTCCCCCCGCTTCCTCCTCCTCCTCCTCCGCCTCCTCCTCCTCCTCCTCCTCCTCCTCCTTCTCCTTCTCCTCCTCCTCCTCCCTCCTCCTGCTTCTCCTCCTCCTCCTCCTCCTCCTCCTCCTCCTCTTCCTCCTCCTCCTCCTCCTCCTCCTCCTCCTCCTCCTCCTCCCCCCCCCCTTCCTCACTGCGCAAATCAACAACATAAATACTCCTGCCCTCTCCACCCCTGAAATTGTGCGAAAGATCTCCCGCCCCCTCCGCGTGCTGCTTTATACACACAGTCTTTCAGAAGTTTGTCTTTCTGAGGGCTTTTGTTTACAATCCGATTGTTTTCAGCGTCTCAAGCTGGTGTTCCCACTGCAACGTGGGTCTGACTTTCGGATCGGCGCGTTGCTCCGGTCGTTCAGAATAATGGCACTATCGCCCCAGCGCGGCCGCTTTTCTGGAACCGAGTCTAGCTTCATTGCTTTCAATCCCCCTCCTCCGCTGGTCCTCCTGTTCCTCTGACTCCTTCCACTCCAATTCCTGCTGCCGCTGCTGCTCGTCTCGCCCCACTGGGGACAGCTTTTCTGATTCCGAATCGTTCTTCATCGGTGCCGCCCCCCTCAATTCTCATCTTCCGCCTTCCCCTGGTCCTTCTGTTCTGCCCTATCCTTCCGCTTTAGTTCCTGCTGCTCTGCTTTTCGTCCTCATCCTTCCACTCCTGTACATTATCCTGCTAAGCCGCCACCTCCTGCTCCTCTTCCTCCTCCTCCTGCTCCTCCTCCTCCTGTGCACGCAGCTCCCCTTTTTCCGATTGCGAATACCACGAATTGGTCTGTCTGTGGGAATCGCAGGTTGGCTATGACACGCGTCCCTCCCCCCGCCTCCTCGTCGCGCTGGGGCAGGCACCTCCATCCCCCATCTCTCTCCTCCCCTCCCTCCTCTCCGCCCTCCTCCGCTGCCTCCCTGGGACTCCCCCTGCCGCCCATCCCACGCGCCTCCTCCCCCCCTCCTCTTCGATCCTCGATCCTCAATCACCCTCCTCCGCCTCCTCGATGAATGATCCTCGATCCTCCGCCTCCTCCTCCTCCTCCTCCTCCTCCTTGATACTGGACCCTCGATCCCCGAGCCTCCTCCACCCGCCTCGCTCGTCCCCCCCCCTTTCACTATGTCCCCCCGAGCGGCGCGCCGGGAGGAACGAGATGGCGATGCTCGACTGCTGCCCCGCGGCCTTCCGGCGACCCCCGCGCGCAAGCCGAGGCGGCAGGAGTCAGGGAGGCAGAGGGCGGCCGGGGGGAGGACTGGCAGCTGGACTGCGGAAGCGCGTGGCTGCCCCGCGGCGCTGTGTCTGCCCCGCCGCGATCGCCGACCAAACGCCGCGGGGGGCGGTCGCGTCGGCCAACGCAGCCGGGATCACAGGGCCGACGCCCACCAGGGATGGTCAGTCGGAGGGAGGAGGCGGAGGAGGCGGAGGAGGATGCGACGGAGGGGTGAAGGCAGCTGGGGGCGAGAGCGAGACCACGACACCAAACGCCTCCAAACGCCCGATCACTTGCGCCTGGATTGCAGCGAGGGCTGCGCGCAATGCTCTGATGAGAATTCTGTCCGAACTGCTGCTTAGATTGGTAGCGCGTCGAACCGTGTTGTAATAATGCGGAAGTGGAGGATGAGGAGGGATGGAGGAGGAGGAGGCGAGGAGGCGAGGAGGGGAGGGTGGGACAGCCAGGGGTGCCTCGCCGTCTGAGAGTTCGCGCCTCCAAGATGTGAAGCGTCTCGCTGGAAACCGACGCATATGAGCCGTTCAGAAAGAGCATCGTCTTCGAAGAAGATTGGTATTTCGCCAACCGCAGAAACTGGCAGAAAAATTGCCGAAACAGTCGGACACAAAAAAAGATCCCCCACTCGAAATCAACACACATATCCTCCAACATCCCAGGTTCGACCATACGTGCTTGGAAGAGCGCAAGCTGAAATGCATTCACGCACAATACATAATGTATTTACGGTCGGGCTTCCCGCTGTCGTTGTCGGCTTCATCGAGCATGTGGTTGTATCGCATCCGTATCGTCCCAACCGGCCTACTGCTCGGCGACCTGGCGATGAACTGACGCGACCCCAATTGGAAGCTTTCCTCTTGGCTGCCGTACAAGCTAGGGGCAATCTACAAACAAACGCAAGGACAAGCTGATGATTAGACACAGCTAATCCCAAATTGAGAACACGAGCCGCACAACTGGCACGAATGTCGGCGTTGCGTCGATTCGTTGCTTGAATTGGTTCGCGCTGGTGGGAATGGATTGTAAGGTTGCGCTTCCTGCGACCTGGTTTGCATTGAATGTATGTGCATTGGCTTGCATTGCATTGCATTGTGTTTCGTTGCACCGGGTTTCAACTCATTGCGTGTATGTATATGGCTCTGAATTGCATTACGTCGAATCCCTATGCATTGCATTGTGCTGCAATGTTTTGGCTAACAGTGGACATCGTTCCGTTGCTCTGCGTAGCAATCAATTAGGTTTGCGTTGCTGTGCGTGGCTGTGTGTGAACGTCACTAAACTGTTTCGCTTTGCGTTGCACTGCATTGCTTCCAATGTATTCCGTTGCATTGCGATGCGTTACCCTGAATTTCACTACACTGCTCCGCTTTGCTTTGCACTGCGTTGGTTCAACTGCATTGCGATGAATTGCGATGCGTTGCTCGGCACTTCACTGCGTTGCATTTTACTGCGTTGCGCTTTAGTGGGGGAGGGGGCTTCTGAAGGAACGGGGAAGAACTAGGGTGGGGCACCCTCAAAAAATCTGGACCCAGATGTCCATTACTGGTGGTCCTCTTGCACGGGGAAAATCGGATCTGCTTGGGAAGACCTGTAGTACAACGGGGTCAAGGGAGCCCATGAGAACCAATACGGGTGGTCTTCGATCGATGTGGTGGTTTGGGGTGAGACTTCCGCGTTGTATGGATGCCGCGCGACGATGAAGCATGTCACGGAGTGTTTGAATGTGCCGTTCGAACTGTATCCCGTCTTGTTGACGCGAGCCCTAGCGTTGGCCGATGGCTCGCGTGCAGCTTGAACATTCGCGTTCACATGTTAATGGATTCTGGGTGTTACAAGATGAACAGTGAAGGTAGGTGAAGATGCAACTGGACACACTCGTTGTCAGTTCAGCATTCGTTTCGCAGATAAGCGTAGCATTGCCGTTTGGCCTCAAGCGTGCTACACGTTTGGTGTGGTGAGCAACTCTTCAATCAATTTTAGCATCGACCGTACGCTTAGCTCTTTAGCTATACATGTTACATCCACCTTACCTTCTGCAGTGCGACGTGATACGGCTAACGTTCGTAGCAAACTACCCGAACATAACATATGTGCTGTCGCGTAAGCAACATATGTTTGTCGTATACGTGCCGCGACTATGAATGTGTCGCGTGGTGCCTCGGTGTGAAAGGTGCGACCGATGTCAAGAAATCGCTCCCTGTAACAATCCGCCGATCCGGCGTGTGAGCTTCTGAGAGCGTGGACCTGAGCTCGCTCAAGCTTCGCTCTTCAAGGGGGGAGGACGCCATTCCCGACGCCATTGAGTGCCCGACGCATTTCAGTGCTCGGGAGCCGGGCCGTGGGGAGGGCTCGCTCTGCAAGGGAGGGGGGGGGGGACCCCATTCCCGACGCCATCCAGTGCTCGGGAGCCGTGGACTTGAGCGCTCTGCAGGGGGCAGGGAGAGGGGGGGCATCATTCCCTACGCCATTCAGTGCTCTGCAAGGGGGAGGGGGGGGGGCGGCGCCATTCCCGACGCCATTCAATGCTCGGCGGGAGCCGGGGGGGAGGTTTGCTCTGCCAGGCGGGGGGGGGGACGCCATTCCCGACGCCATTCAGTGCTCGGGAGCCGTGGGGAGGGTTCGCTCTGCAAGAGAGGGGGGGCACCCCATTCCCGACGCCATTCAGTGCTCGGGAGCAGTGGACTTGAGCGTTCTGCAGGGGGCGGGGGTGGGGACGCCATTCCCGACGCCATTCAGTGCTCGGCAACGGGAAGGCGGTTTTCTCTGCGGGAGGGGGGGGTCGCTCTGCAGAGGGAAGGGGAGGGAGTGGGGGACGCCATTCCTGGCGACATGCAGTGCTCGTGGGCGGGGGGGATTCGCTTCCGACGGTCCCACAAATTCCTGGGTAGGGAGGGCCCCCAAAGATCCCCAACCAAACTCAAGAACTGCCTCCAAGACGCCCCCCAAGGGACCTCCAGATGCCTCCAAGACGCCCCCCCAAAGGCAAACGACTGCCTCCAAAATCGTCCAAAACGCTACGTTTGAACAACAATGTGGCAAAACAATTGGATCTTCAATACGTTCACCTACTCAGACGTCTTGGGGGTCAGGTGGGCAGTACGCTTGCCGACATGACCCATGTAACTGTATGGAATACGGCAGTACATAAAACAAGGAGTTTGAAGTCGAAGGCAACTGTGTCAATCGCGCTCGCAGATGCTGTGGCGTTCGTGTCCGTGTTCGGGCGCTTCAATTGGCTACCTGCCAGACGCAAGCTTGGGCGCTGGCCCGTCAGACGCATGAGACGCAGTTGTTGCACTCACTCCCGGGCACGCATTCGCTGTTGCATTAAATACTGTGTATCAATAGCCCCCCACAGTGCAACTCTGTGTTTTGCTTGAACGTCTCAGCTTCTGATGCTCCGATTGCCAACATGTGCTTCGGATTCGGCTTTGCAGTAAATGTAGTTTTCGCTTTCACCGACTCAGCCTTGCGTTAGTGCTCTTCAGATCGTGACCTCAATATTTGCTTAACCTACCCTCTGTAATCTGCCAGACCAGGCCTGTTCTCTCAGAGACGGACGCAAAACAACTTCCGAATCTTGCGTTTGGGGGTCATGGCGTCACTGCCCCGGACAGCTGGATCTCCTCGGACTCCTCAGAGGGCTCCACTGCCCACTCTACATGATTGTAAAGCCTTGCCAGCACAGTTCTACACCTTGCCTTCAATGTGCCATCATTACACGAGGATGCTCCATACGGTAAGCCAGAAATTTAAAGCACACCAAGGGGAAGAGCGAATATTTGTCCAAAGAAACGACGAAGAGGGCCAAACTTGGAAGAGTCTCGCAGTCAGTTCGGCGACGCCTGAAAACTGAAGCAAGGGCAGGGCAAGGCTCCCATCGAGACGACTCCCCCGTCTGACCTCGCTACATGACCTAGCCCACTTGAGGGCCTCTCCACTCCTCTCTGGCGTCTGGCCAACGCCAACATCTCAACACCCCCAGCGCACGGCAAGGACCACAGCCCGTAGCGCGACGTGGAGATCATCGAGCAGGCCAGGAGCGCCACACGAGCCTGCCTGCCACAGGCGGGCTCACGCAGAGAACGATCCCACCTTCCTGGCATGATGGACAGTGGCCTCAGGACCCTGGAGCTTCCCGGGACAAGCTTCTTCTGCTCTGTCTCGTTGTTCGGCGGCCCCCAAGCCCGGGGGCCCCAGGAGCCCGAGCACTGCGAAAGGCCAAGATAGGGGAACAATGGCATGAACATAACAACTCAGAGGTCCGCACGAATTCCTCGGATCTGCGCTGGACCCCCCCCCCTGGCGCGCGGAGCGGGCCAGGAGCGGCGCCGGATGTCCTGTCAAGGGGCCCCAGCGCCGATCCGAGAAATCCGCGTATGAAGTGGCCCTGGGACACGCAAACACATGCATGTAAATAAAACGATTCCCCATAGTTTCGCACATTGTCTGGGATTTCGTCTTCCCCCCCACTTCCCATGTTTTCCCATATTGTCCTGGGAATCGACGATTAATTGTGTCTGTGTGATTTTTCTCCTCCTGATGTTTGCCCCCCTACTAAAAAGTCCTGTGCCTCCAGGGCCCCGTGTTTCCAAGGCGACCCGCCCCCCCCAAGGCCTTGCTCTCGCCGACTAGAAGGATGTCCACCTCGGGCGCATGTGCAAGGCCACCAGCCCTAGCAAGCTTCCGTGCTCAATCGTCCTCCTCGCCCCCCTTGGATATTGCTGCCGCTGCATGTCCTTGTTCCGCTTCGCCTCCTCCTCCGACTCATCCGCCAAGCACCCTCTTCCCCCGCGTCCCGTCCATCTCCGTCCTCGTCTTCGACGCTGCCGTGATCGTCGCCCTCGCGTTCACCGTTTTCCCCCCTGAAGACCCTAGGACGAGGATATACACGTCGATTATTTCTAATCGTGCTCATTTCTAATTGTGCTCGTTTCTAATTGGTCCTGGCCCCCTAGTGGCCAGGAAGAGGCCCAGGATATAAAAATTAGAAATGAAAGAATCTGGGCCCCCAAACAAATCAGTGAACTTTCGAATACTTAGAAATGAACAACGTGTGCTGGCTGAGTGATGTCCTGATTGCCTGTGCTTTCGCATCTCGTTCGCCCCTCCTCGAGCCCCTCGAGTGCCCATGGCTCTCTACAATGGCCCCGAGAGGGCCCCAACGGCTTCCAAAAAGGGCACCGAGAGAATCCCATGAGGGCTGCGCAGCATTCCTGAAGACTCCACAAGGTGGCTTCAGGAGCCCTCCGAGGGGACAACAAAATTCAGGGAATATCTGTGGTTCCAGGGAGGGCCGCATAGATCCATATCCACCGCCTGCCGAGGTCCCCGACTATCGATCCTGTAGGAGGTGGCCAATAAGAAATCCCCGCCTCGGAGGGGATTGACCGTTCGTTCTTGCACTCATGCTGATCCCTTTCTCTCCTGTGAATCATCTCTAGATGTGAGCGGGAGGGGATACGCCACGCGTCAGACATGTAACTGCTCACGCTCGCAGGCCATACCACATCCAATCAAACACTGTTCCGTCTCGGATCCTCTGCGTTATTCTCGCCTGGTTCTTTCATCCCCCAACACATTCCCCCTCCGTCGCCTTGAACCTCACCAAACGGAATACCTCTCCAGAGTGCCTGCTAGCCGCCGACGCAGTCTCGAAAGGGGGGGGGGGCGGAAGCCCAGCGAAGCCTCGTGGAGCTGCGAGACGATGTCCCAGCCCGCGAGCGCCTCCGTAGCCATGATGCCCCCGTCCGCTTCCAGGTGGCTGCGCGGCGGATCCGCGGGCACGGGCGTCGTCGCGGCGAGGTGACGAGGCAACGGCGACATGTTGCTGTGCTCGCGACGGCGTGGCGACGTGACTCCGCGGTAATGCCGGAGGGGCGAAAGCGGTAGCGAAGGCGATGCCGGAGAGGCGGAATTGTGGGTACCCCTCCGCCTCCGCCATGCCTCCCAAAACAATGAAGTGCACTTGGCAGCAACATATGGATCGTGATCGGGACCCCCGGGATCACTTTGCGCCTGCTGTTAAAAGAAATGGGGATGTATGTTTGTCCGCTTGGCACTGCCCTGCTGCCCCTGTCAAAATACAATGCGAACCCGTCGGCGGTGCCCTTACCGTATACAATGCTAACCGCCCCAATCCCGCTACGCAATGGCTTTTTGCACATGTGGTTCGGGGGTCGACGTATTGCCCGATGCGCAGGTGGCGCGCTCGGCGCACGTGGCGCATCTGGCGCACCAGGTGCGCCTGGATGGACCGAAGGAAGGGGGGTGGGCAGAGGCGTTTCACCGTAGAGTCCCAAGACGTCTTGCAAGATTGCACAATGTTGCCCACCATGGTTTAAGATACGGTGGCGGTTTTCGGTAAGGATGCCTTCGATGAGGAGCCCAGGGTCTCGCGACCGATGGGCGGCCAAACGTGGACCACCCACCTCGCCTTGAAACAAGAAGGAACGCGCCAGGGCCTGGGCCCAAAGAGGACGTTCCTTATCCAATGCCGCCGCCGTAGCTGCCGTGATGTATCCACGGGGCCCCAACACTGACTCAATGCGGCTCGATTTGGACGCGGCGCCTCCGGCGGAGACCTCCGAATGGCCAACATGTTCAATGGCTTGTCCCTTCTCACTTTCTCTACATTCCGATGGGCTCCTGAGGACTCAGGGTGGCTCTAAGATCGGCCAAGAGGGCCTCCAAAGGGACACATAAAGGATGAAATACGGACCACGTAGCACCCAAGCAAGAACGCCCAAAGAGTGCACAAATGAGGGTCCCAAGAGGCGACTGTCACGTAGCGAAGAAAGTTGGCAAGTTGACGCCGCCGTACCTGTAGCCAACACAACAACACGTAGCATTGCACAACCAACATTTGTAGAATGGTGTTCGCCTCGACGCCTGAAGATGGCCTCAAAGATTGAACAATATGGCGCACATTGGCTCAGTATGGCCTCTAGCATGCCGGCAGGCGCCCCATTACGGCCCAGAGACTGCTCCAAATAGCGCCGGAGCACCCCAATGAGACCCCTCGGGATGCACGCCCAAAACAACAAAAACAATGCTTCATTGGCGTTAGGCTCTGAGGCCTCAAGCTTATTCCAAGATGTCCCACGAGGGACGCATGAGCAGCCCAGAATAACTCCAAGACGGTCGGAGGGCTCCAAGAGATCCCCAGGGGGGACCAAAGATAGCTCCAATGGCCTCCAACATGGCCCCATGAACGCCCCACAAAGGTCTGAGTGAGCTTCCAAGCGGCTCCTGTATCGAAGTATCCGCGAAGGCATGCCCCCTTGACACCTGGCCAATCAGGCTGATCCCGATCGTCTGTTTGACGGCTGCCAACCCTTTTTTTGTCAGCTGCTTGCTCCCACACGTCCTGGCCGAGGCAACTCGCCTGGGCATCTTGTCTGGATGGTCGGGCGGGGAGCACGAAGAGCGCAAGAAGCCCAGCCGCAGTGCCGCTAACGGGCAACCCTCTGACGCCTGGTGTTCCGTCTTGCTGCCGGCTTGCAAGACGTGGCCTGGATTCCCTGGCAACGACGGCGTTGCCCGATAGATGACAGCAACATCCCTCAATACCCAATTGGTCAGACCAGCTCGCAAGAGCGGACTAACCATCCACGCAAACAAAAGCCATACGCTACGCATGCGCCTGCGCAATGCACCCGCGCGCTCTTGTAAGCTCGAACGGTCAAACAACTGAGCTGCGGCCCTGTCTGGAGCGCTCTCAGCCGTCCTCCATTGAGTGCCGAAACTCTCCACAAGTGGGGCAGGTTAACATCGGTCGCCGGTGGGCATACTGCGTGTTGTTCTGAGGTTTCTCTTCAAGGTAATCAAGCCGATCTGGCTTGCAAGCGAAAAAGAATACAAGTGGGTGCTGTAGCCTCTGCGTTCGTGCTCAATCATGATCATGCTGCGCTACTCCATGTGCATCCTGACTGCATCGGATTTCCACTCTGAACGGTCCCTTTCGCAGGTGGAAGAAGACGGAAGAATCGTCTCCCCTGTGGCTCATTCTCGGGGGACATCAGTGCCTGCTTCGAATCGGTCGCGAGGCTGCAATCTCCATCATAGTTTCTGGCAAATCGGGATCATGTGTGACTATGCCCTCTGCGGTGCCCTCACCATGCACCAGCAGAAGACGAGAAATCTGGAGGTATGGAACTCACGGTACTGCAGATTCTGCTTGCAAACTCTACTGGAGAGCGCGCTCGCGGGGAGATAGGCGATCAAGTCGGGTGGTCAACATCCACGCATACGTCCTCAACCTTTGACAACGCCCGCTGCACTCAGCGTGGCAAGCGCAAGTCTGTACCGATTATCTTAGCTGAGGTGCCAACGCAATTGCTAATCGCAAGACGGGCGCTCGCACCAAGCCTGCATGACATGTCTGTCCTAAGAAGCGTCGTCAAAGAGAAGCTGCTTTCTGGACACGCGAGCAGGCAGAAATTAAGGGCAGTAGGAGGGATGCGCGAACGAGGCAGGGTGAAGATGTGGTGGGAGCGGTCTGGCATGCAGCCCTGCACTGTCGACCGGCCCTGACCCCTCTCCCTTGCCGCCCTCGCGCCTCACGATCCAGTTGTTCTCCATCACGTGCGGAGTCTCCACAGGATTGACCGTGTCCAGGCGGAACTTCATGAGCTTGCCCTCCTTGACGTTCTGAGGCTCCGAGACGCTGAAGGTCAACACGCCTCCCGGGAGCCGGGTGTCAACATGTGGCTGGCATCCGAAGCATCCGGAGCGATGAGACCTTTTGGCGTTTGGGGTAGGGTGAGGGGAGGGTCGCCCATACCCGTTCCGTGCAACACCTGTAAGGCCTCGCGCGTGTGGGTAACAGTGAGGGGTGTTACCCCCAACCACTTGTCTCATTCCTTCGCCCGTTCACCCTCTTTCTCCTGGCAAGCGATTCGCGCGTCCGATTGGCGTGCCTCATAAGAGTGCACAACTGCCTGCTCCCAGTCCTCAGTCCCTAGTCCCATTCCCGCCCGACGCGAGTGGGGATGGGCGAGACAGTTCGGACATGTACCACAGTGACAAAGCATGATATTAGTGTTTCTAACTCATCGGGTTTGCACTTCTGGCTTCCCCGAAATTCCAATAGGGTCGAAACATCCGATTGGGCAACTTCGGGCCGCCTGGAAGAGTGGAGCGATTCTGTGTGGCACCATGTTGATGATTCGTCTGATATAGTTGTGAAGTTGGTGTAGGTCCAAGCTCCAAGTCTACTCCATCCGACCACAGAACCAAAACGATCATATGAATGCACACTATGTGTAAACATCAAGGCCACAATGATACCGTGAATGTCATGCGGGCAATTCATAACCATATGCCCCGCAGGCGCGCGCCCATCAGACCACCTTGCAGGATTCCGCGTAACTGCCATAAGGCGAGAAATGATCATCCCGTGGTTTCCGCCACTTACCTCAGGTTTGCACCTGCAACCGGATCGAACACCTGTGAACAGCCACCATAATGCTGCTTGAAAAATGTGGTGGGTCAGATTGCATGTTTTCCTTTGTTGCGTGCGCAAACACATGATGACCACACCGTTCACTTCGTACCCGACTTGCTCTGCGCACTACTCTGAGCCGCCATTGTGCCCCCTGGCACGTTGACGCGTGGTCGAATGCCAGGTGTTGTCTGGCAGGGCTTCTGTAGTCGTCTAATTGACCCCCCTCTGCCAGTCACATCCAGTTGCGTGCATCCCCAGTCCCGAATCTTCCTGGGAGGCCTGACGCTTCCCTGGCGCTGTCCGAAATTCCGGGGGGTCCCCGGAGATAGCCGAAAATGGCCGAAAATGCCTCCACGGCTTCAAGGCGGCCCAATGAGGCCCCCAAGTGATCCAAGGGAGCTCAAAATTGATCGCCAGGAGGGGACGAATACTCCCAAATCGTAATGCCTCGAGGGTTTTGAAATCTGTTCTGGTTCTTACGTTATCCACTTTCAAGCTTCCGTCCGCTCAAGACAGCCGAAGGGGCCGCCAAGATGGTCCAGAGTCCAAGGACAGGCCAGAGTTTGAACGAGGTGTTTCAGGCCATGGGGTAAATTTCTGGATGGACGGTGGGTGGAACAAGATTGCGATGGAGAAGAACAAGGCACACTTTTCTCCTACGCAACCGCAAACCGTGTACTGGCAACGCCGCCGGCACAGGCAGAGTGGGCGGCGTTGCCTTGGGCTGAAAAAGCAGCGGAAGCAGGCAAGCATGCGTCCCCATCCTGGGACGTACTCTCAAAGCTTCAGAGGCCCAAAACAGGGCCCCACGACGGCCGCCAAAAGGCCCCAAGATGGCCTAATCTGCTTCCAAGACGGCCCTGGACACCCCCAGGAGGCCCCAAAGGGCCCCGAGAGGTCCCCGAAATGACCCAGAGAGGCCCCCAAAGACGGACTCCGAA